AATTGCCAATATATGGCTTCACTAAGAACATCCAAGTACTTTTAAAAAGCCTTCTTAATTTTCAATTGAACCTTATATATCAGAATTTCTTCTTTTTATCTTCATTGGTTCTAACAAACTATTATCGAATTTCGATCTAACGCAGCACTCCTCGTCAGACGCTTTTGTTGGGTATACGACTCCTTCACTATTGTACATCAATGGCGGTACGTTCTCAACTTGAGCACACCATCGGAGACACGATATACTTCTATTGTTTCTTCATCTAGCGATATCCATTTTCCGGAAATGACCAAGTCAAGGAAACCGCTAGATGTTAATTTGCTGTGTAACTTAGCAATGTCGTAATAAAGCTCGTACAGCACACATTTTATGGGGATGTAGTAGTCGTTGCCAACTCGTGTAGAATTGAAGATATTACAAAAATCTCTTCTCTCGAGAACTCACAGCACAGCTTCATCATTCTGTAATAACGTAAGTGCTTCTGCGCCATACAAAAGTACAGATAGGATGAATGTAAATTTTACCGATCGAGAGAGACTCTATATCCCAGTTGCCCGCTGAGCCCATTAAAGCACCTATTAGCAATGCTAGTTCAACGTCTGAATTTCAAGTCGTTGTTGTTCTTTCCAGTTGTGCCTAGATGGTTCAAATCCTTGACAGATTTGATTATATATCAGATATTCTCACAAAGCATTTTACTTTTATTTGCAAAAGGAACAATAACAGTTACAAATCAGAGTTTGTTGGACCCTTAAGAAAAATGTTATGGCCAAAACATGATTTTATTAGAAATAATTTTTTTTGAAATTCATTATTTCCTTCCGAATATATTTTGTGTTCCTGATAATGTCACAGACAAAATCATTTCTCTGACCATATAAAAGTCGCACGGTTTTAGGAAAAATTAAATTGAATAATGGTTAACCACGTAGGTGTACCTATATTCTTGTCAATAGATGGCCTCAGTAAGCATATCTATATATTGTATAGTGGATAAGCAGTTTGCATTCTTAATTCACATTCTTAAATTCGGTATTGCCTACTAAAAATTTTCTTAATTCTACAAGATATTTTACATTCACACACATACAAATGCAACTTTTATTACGTATACATATTTTTATTGTTAAAGTGAATAGCACTGAGCATTCGCATGTCTTTTGAGTGTGATTTCAGTGTGATTTGAGTGTGATTTCAGTGTGATTTCAGTGTGATTTTCTTACTTCAGCTCAGCGTTCTGGTGGTGTTGGGCGTTTGATTTACTGCTGCCGTTTTTAGCAATTAGCTTAGGATTTCTGTGCAATTTTATGTTATTTTTATTAACTTATAAAATGGCACACAGCAAACAAATGATAAACACAATCTTTAACATATGAGCTTTGAACTTAATAATAAAATTTATGCTTATTGCAATAGTAAAATAAAAAGGAATATGTGAAAATTATGGAAAATTTTATTATGAAAATGTAAATAAAATGCAGTAGAATGGAGCGTAAAATACAATTGTCTCAAGTGGCTTATCAGTTTATTAAAGTAATAATAACTTTATTTTTATGTTTAGTATAAATTTTTATGTACACTTTTTTTATTTTTTATTTTATACTCATTTTGTACAAATACTAAAAGATAACATTGCATATTGTTGTTGAAAAATTATTATTTATGAAATTTACATTTACTCCCATATATATACATATAGGAAATATGAGTATATTTGGTTTGTGAATTTATTTGTAGTTGTATTTGCGAAGAAATTGCAACTAAAAAATTTTGGTTTCTATAGAGAATTTTTTTTAATATTTTGTTATTATTGCTGTTGCTGTTGCTGTTCATTTTATTAAAACTTTAATTACCTTTTGCTATTCAAATACGAAAGCAAACAACGCAATAACATAAAATTTAATTAACAAACTTTTCGCAATTCGAACCGGAAATGTTAAAACTTAAATATTTAAAAAAATATATAACGAAAAAAAATTGTTTTTTTTATAATAAAAATATATATTTAGAATAGCAAAGTGGTGCTTCCTGCAACATATGCTGCATTGGCTCCAAATGAATTGCCAATTGAAATCACGATATGCTTCATTCATGCAATAAAAACAGCAAAAACTACACTGCAACATCATGCAAAACAACCCAAACTATCAAAAATGTATTTATTTATGAAACACTACACTGCAAATATGCAAAATAGCAAAACAGCAAAATATCTAAATAACTAAAAAATCAAAATAAAAATAAATTTATAGAGATGTATTCGACTCCACTCAACAAATTGTATATGTGAATTAAAATGCGATAAAATATATTTAGATAAATTCAATTCCCACAACTACAAACTACAAACTTTTGATCTATTCCATCTGCCAGTACTTAAAATGTAGTGCGATGTACTTATGCTTGTTTTGGTAGGTACTACATTACTGTGATTGGTATATTAAGTTACTTGTACTTCAGCAGTCTTTATTGATATATAAAAAAAAGTAACCATAGATTTGGTCTTAATTTAATATGAAAATGCTATTTGATTTTGATTTCATATGATATGAATGAATAAGAATGAATTTTCTTTTTAAAAATTTACTTGATCGCTGCTTCGATCCTGTTTATGACGAGCTCAAAGAAGAAACCCTAGAACAGTTATACAGTTAAGAGTTATAAAGATCCAAGAAATGATTATCTTTCAAGAAACGAAAAGCCTTTAAAGCTTTAGCAAAACTGCAGTTCGTGTACTTACTGGAGTACTAACGGGGCACTGTGCGCCTATGCTTCAACTAGTGGATTATGCAAGAGTTGCCAAGATGAAGAAGAGGTGGAATGTATCAATCACTTCCTGTGTCTCTGTCTAGGACTGCAGACAAGGCGACTTCAATGTCTTGGGGATCGCTTTTTCAAACTTATCGGATCTCTTCAACTTCATCTGGAAAATGGTTTAACGCGAATAACAGAGGTTATCAACTCGACTCTTCCGGCAAAAGTTTTCTGAGAGTATCTCAATTAGTAATATATGCTTCTGAGTGGAAGTGCTGACAAGTATCAGCACGCTCTTTCTGAACCTAACCTAACCTTACCTATCCAAAAATAAGTAAATTTAAATAAATAAATAAGTAAATCGCTTCAGATTGTGTTTAGTTTAAAGAAGACATCTTAGAACAGTTATTATGCCACTGTCAAGAGTTATAGAGGTCCAAGCTTATGCTATTAGGCACCCCATTCTTTAATTTACTCAACATCAAATCTAGCATAAAAATTAAGTAAATATTTGTATTCATCAATGCATTAAGTTGATTCTATATCACCTAATTCGACATCAAAGTCATTTTCATTTTTTTTAGCTAAATGAGAATGAAGTGATCCTCCTTCCATTTCACCTATGGATCTTCGCATTTTCAGTTAATACTGTTAATATGATGGTAAAAATAAAAACATAATGATGCCCAATAATCAAACAAATCAATCAAAAATATTTGATTAAACGCATAATCAGAAGATCTACCTATCTTCAATTAATAATGTTAATACGATGTGATTATTTAAAATGATTAAGTGAAGACAACTGAACAAACAAATAAAAGCATTCGATCAAATGTATTACCAGAAGATCATATATAAATCACAATAATAATTAAAATACGTCATAGAATCGATAAGATACTAATATGATGAAAAGGAAAGAAAAACCGGATACCTAACGATCCGGCACACAAAAATAATTGCAATCATGTAATATATCATAAGAATAAAATAATATCCTGAAGATATTAAAAAATACCAACCAAACGAGGTTTGACAATTTGAAATAAAATAATAATAATATAAATAATACCTATACAAAAGTATAGTATTGAATTATTGAAAATTTAACAATTAAAAATAAAAATATAATTATTTGATTCAATTATTCTGCAGCTGGTTTATGATTTCAGGCTAAAATAACATAGCAAGTGAATTTGTTGATGAATTATCGCAGCAAATTAATAAAACTCCATGTTCGAAACATACTAGTCAAGAATGACTTTGGATCAGTTAGTTAATGCACACTGGCTCTGAGTTTCAAATTGGACAGGGTACAAGTCCAAACGTTTGTACTTGTAGTCGCAAAAAGTTTTATACAAATTATTAAATACAAGAAGCTACGGAATAACATTTATAAACATACTTTACATATATACAATATATAAATACTTAGTTCATGTTGTCGAGAACACTATAGAAAATAATCTAATTCTTTAAAGCATTTAATGAAATATTCCTTAAAGAGAAAAGAAGATAAAGACTGCTCTTTTAGCTTGTCTTTTCAATTCAATGAGATTGGCTTTTATGATATTAATATTTATAAGGTATAACTGTTGTTTTTTATACCTAATGTATTATTATTAAGATCACTGCATTAGAAATATTAATAAATTCAGCTTCGAAAATCTTTTTTAATTTGAATATAGTAGTTTATAAAAATCCATGCATTGGTGGTTTGATACTATGTTTGCCCAATGATATTCATTTTTTTATTGGAAATAAAAGGGTTAAAGTTAAAATCATTATATCAATAAAAAAAATTTTAAACTAAAAAAATTGACTTTAATATCTCTAAAGGCTACGTAATTTAATCCCTCTTCCAAAAGTAAGCAAACAAGTTAATAGTGCCAAAAACTTTAAACGCAATTCTAGTCACTAATAAAGACAAAGTGTTTTGCAATTCAAAAGAGTTTTTTAACACCTACCACCAGAAGTGTAAGACAATACTTTTTCTAAATACCCAAGTGCTCCCGAAATCCCAACAAACTACAACAATTTCACACATGCAGCAATTGAAAGAATAGTTGAAACTGCAAACTTCCAAAATTTTTCACTGAAACAATTGCATTAAAAAAAAGTGCTGGGAATAAAACAATAAAACTCTACATAAAATAAATATAAAATAAATATAAAATAAATATATAATATAAAAAGCGTAGTTAAAACACTGACAACAACCACATCACTTTCCGACAAAATCAACCAACTAACCATTTATCATTATTGCCATCATCATCAACATCAGCATCAGCATCAACATCAACATCGCATTCATCAGCAAATGCAACTGTGAGTGAAGCTGCTGCAATATCCTGCAGTTACCATATCCGTAAGGTACAGCGTTCTAAAGTGGTGTTACCAAATACCATAAAGGCATTTTACCGTTTCAGCTTAGTCAAGTTGAATCGGTTAGCCTGATCCGTTTCGGTATAGCAGAGTAAGTCATGGTCTAGTCTAGGAAGGTCTGGCATGAATTTCCGACAAGCGTTACAGAAATTTATGTTTGTCGACGCTGTTTGATTGTGTATGCGCACTTCTGCTCGTATTTATATGAATTTTAATTCCTTTTTAGAACTGCCATTTTTAAGTTTATTATATGTATATAAACAAAAGCATATAAATTGTTTTATAAACAAATAAATATACATATTTTTATTATATGTTCTACACACAAAATAGTTATTTTTTGTTGTGTTGTTTTGCTGACAGAATTTCTGTTTGCTTGGCTGCGCATTTGGCAAAAAGCAATTTATCACTTTTATTTGAATTTTACAGAAGGTAAAATAACTTTTATCCTATTTCCATATACTGCACAAAGGCATTTAGCAAACAAATAGTTTATTTAAATACCAAAAATATGCTTGATACAATGGAGAATATATTTATTGGAGCATTTGTTTATGGACAAGCACTTCAACCAATTTAGTTATTTAATTAAAATTCATTTATTCGATTCTATTGCTGAGAATTTCACAAATTAATCTTAGAACATTAAATTATTTTAAATAAATAAAATAAAAATAACTGGAGCAGCTTAATGGAGAAGTATTATAAATCAGAATGATCTGAAAAATTTTAAAGGATTAGTTATTGAATTTTACAATCATAATTTTTCCAATAGTGTGATCACTCATTTATTGATATAGTATTAGCTCTATACTATGGAACTATTTTTGTGATTTTAAAAGAAATTTTGAACTTTTAACTGAGCTTGTTTAAAAATGACATAATAAACCATAATAACTGACAAGAATGACGTTTATTATTTAACTGTTGTTTTAATATTTTTTAAGCACAACTTTTAGTTCAGACATTCAACTAGATTAGATAGAAAAAAAATAACAGAAAAAAAAACAGAAAAATAAAATTGTGTATTATAACAGTTTTTTTGTACTCACAACTTACCCTAACCAAATAGAAAATATTTTAAAATTTAAAGAGTTCAAATAGAAATCAAAAGACAACAACAAAAATTTCAGTAAATTAACTAAAAATTTCTGTTGTTACCTTTTCATTGCTATTCGAACTCTTCTAACTTCAAAATAATTTCTGGGCAAAAAAAAATTAACATTAGAAAATATTATTGTCAACCAAAAATTATAAGCAATTAATTAAAAAGATATAAAATTTTTTGTTGTCGTAATACAGTTCTGTTCAAAACCTCTCTATTAAATACAATTGTTTCTATTAAGTAAAATTAATTTTATAGAGAATAGCAGAATAATAGAATAATAGAATAATCATATAGAACAGAAATAAATAAAAAAAAAATTATTAGAACTGCATAAACGTTCTCCTCTTTGTTCTATCGAATATATATATTCAATTTCTAATCTCATTTGTGCGAATCGTAGAGTAGCATTAGGATGAGTTTCTCCATAAACTTCCTAAATCCGTTCCTGAATTAGTTCTATATACAAAAAAAAAATATAATATAAAATTATGCAATAAAGATTGCCCCTACAAAAGAACAGTATTAAAATTTAATAATTAAAAGTAATTATAATTAATTCAATAATAATAATTTATGATTTCGTTCTAATACAGCATAGCAACCGAATTTTTATAATGAATTTTTACAGCAAATTAACAAAACTCCAAGTTCGTACAGAAAAGTCAAGTACGGCTTTGGATCAGTTAGCTAATGAACACTGACTCTAAGTTTCAAATTTGGCAGGGTACGAATTCAACCCTTCGTACTTGCAGTCTCAAAAAAGTATTTACGACTAATTAAATATGAGAAATAATTTTAAGAATAACTATTAGTGGGTATTTGGCAATACTCGAAACTGTTGTATAGTCAACCAAAAACGCGTTTAATTAAAATTAAATAAAAATTTTTGTTGTTGCATTTCACTACTGTTCGAAACCACTCTAATAATTACAATTGTTTCTATTAGGTAAAATAATCATTACCGTCATAATTGACGTGAAAAAGAAAATATTTTGCCTTTGAAGTGAAGGCGTAAATGTATAGTATTGAGTATTTCATGACATTAGAAACGGATAGGATCTGGCTATTCAGTATTTTACTGGCATAGTTTAAAGTCTGATAGGCATAAAAACGTCCTGGACATGTAAGTAGACTGACATTTTGTTACTCAAAATAAATTCAATTTGTTAAAATCGTTACGTAGGTTCTGATGATATAGAAATCGTCGCGGTAAAAAAGTGTTTTTCAGTCCTTATAATTTTATGTAATATAATTTAAGCAATTTTTACTAGCCTAACAATCGCTCTAAGATTAAAGACATACATCAGGTACATTTGTATAGTTTGACTTAACTTAAATAACTAAATAAATAAATAACTTAAATTAAATCTAAAAGTACTAAGTATCTATTTATATGTAATTCTCATTTGTATCGCATTTTTAATTAATATGTAATTTTTAATCCTTACTATTTTCAAAAAGTATTTTTATATGTCTCTTCCAATTACCATTGGATATGTTATTTTTTCTTATACTTTTATAACAGAATAATGTTGAAGGTTTCACCGATACATAATTAGGTGGATGAACCACAAAACAGTGGCTCCAAATATTCCAATGCTCATTACTGTCCTAAAATATATCACTTCATTTAATTAAATTACAAATGAGGGAAAGAATATGTACATATAAAGTAAACATCAACTGTGGGTTTATAAATCAAAAAAAATTCAACCAATATGAGATTTTTATTTCTTTTTAAGACTTACCTGTATTCCAAAAAGTTTTTAATTTGTTTTCCATTTTTATGGTGAACTGTCTTTTTGTTTACATCCTTAAAATTAAAAAACGTTCACTGACTCATCATTTCAATTACTATTTCGTTATAGACATTATATCACAAAGTCTTCAAAATAATTTGAGCTTTGAATTATTTCCGTCAAAGATAAAATGAACGGACTATTTTGCTTAATTCTGGAAACTGCAAGCCAAGAAGATGAGCATGAAAGAAAAAATCCTTTGATATATTACAATAGTATACTATCGTATCGAATAAAATACATACAGACTTGTGGATTTTCATTTTACTTTAACTCGTTTAACTAAGATTTCTCTTATAAAAGCTAAAGATAAACAATCCTTTAGAATCTGGCCTTTGTGAGGGATTGACTGAGTCCTGCACAACTGCAGCACTCTTAAATTTTATCCTTCTTGCGTCTGTCTATACATTTTAAGGCAGACAAATAAACCAAGTTACGTACAAATTAAAACATCAAATTTGAAGATTGCAGCAAAATGCAAAGTAAAGAATAGAAAGTGAAATTCAAACAAAAATTCCGACATCAGTGCACTTGAATCATTGCAAAAATTTACAAAATTAAATTTACAACGTTTACTTTAAAATTAAGAACTAAAATCGTGCAATTGCTAGGGTGCCTGCCTGTCGGGCAGGAACTAGCAATGATGGATTTTCATAAGACCGCTAAATTATTTAGTTTTAACCAAGGGTCGAACTCTGTTGTTGCTGACGTTTATATTGATGGCTTTTTAGAAATTTAGCGAAACCAATTTAGTTTGATTGCAGTTTAAAAGCAATTTCCATTGAAACTAAAACTATTCTATTAACTTAATGAAAAATTTATTAACTTCAGTAACACAGCAACTTTGCCGGTAAAAGGAAAAAGTCACAACTTGCAAAAAGGATTTATATTAAATTGATTTTTATGATTTTGATTGAAGCAATTGAAATTGAATTTCATTAAAGTTTGTTTTCAATAAGCAAAGTGCAACTAATTCAAATTTTTCATAATAGAAAAAATCCCATCAATTTTTATACGAAACGTTATGATTCTCCTTCTCTTCTGTATGAAAATTAGACGCATTTGTTCGATATGTAAAAGTCAACTGCCTACTTTCAGGCGCAAAATTAACTGAGTCAACTTCAACTGATGATGTGACATTATCTGCCTCACTGTTTGCTTCATCTGCACTGCATGTGCTGTGCCAACACATATGGGCTGTCATAACATAACTACTCAATTTTTTTAAGCTTTTCCCCCCTTCTCCTACAATCACGCGCACACATACACGCACAGTTGCTTTATGAAAGCAACGACAAATGGTGGTGTATGTACGTTTAAGTATGTTAGTGTGTGTTTATCTGTATGTTGGATCTGCATTATGACAACAACACATTTAAGGTTACAAGTAGTTTGCTGTTAACGCACTTCAGACGTTGTCGGAGTTTACCGTTGTCAATGCATAACTCATCTGTTCAGAGTCAGTTCATCAGTAGTTGGTGTTAGGCCTATGCATAACCAGTTACAGCGCTTACTTGGAGCTAACTGGGGCCCTTGCTAAAATTATAGACTTGCACTGGGGCAAACTAGGCGCAGTCAACACTGCAGTTGAGCGTAATGAGACAATGACAAATGATGGTACAAAAATGTACAGCTTCAGCTTCTTCCGCGATGCCGTCGCTGATAAGCAGTATTGTTGCATGACTGGTTGGTTGCTGGTATAGATGGTTGGTTGGTTTGTTGGATGACTGGATGAATGGATGGATGAGTGATTACATAGTTGTATGTATGTATGAAGTTGCTGTCTCTCGTTGACTGAACGAGCTTCAAAGTGTGACAAAAGGGTTTTAACTGATTTATCACTCTCGTCGAGAACTTAGAGAAACTTTTAATAAGTTTCCATATCAGTATTTATTTTGAGTTGTGAAGTATTTGTGATGGAAAATTTTTACAAGTATGAAAGATGAAGTAACATGTATAGTAGATTCATTAAAAATTAAAATATTAAAAAAAATAATTTATTAAATTTAAAAAACAATGTAATTTATTATATTTAAAAAACAAAAACAATTTTAAGTAT